GGAGCCTGCTTGGGATTGTCTTTCTCCTTTTCTCTCTGCCTCTTCCCCACCTTTCGATTGCTCTCTCTCTCACAACATAAATAAATAAACATTAAAAAAAATGCACCTTTAGATAGAATGGAATGATTCAGTTTTTCTTCTATAGAGATGGCAACAATAGTATCAAGATCAGTGGACCACAAAATATTGCAACAGAAGGTTTTAGCAGTAACAGCACTTTTAAACATGGCTTGAACAAAATTAACTAGCTTTTAATTTATTAAGTCAGTAATTACAATCAATGCATATATTTTCACACTTTTCATGTAGAGTCCTCTGTTATTTAAAAGTAACAAAAGGAATACTAAATTTACTGGAAATGGTAAAAAGACTAGATATTTTCCACATTAAAAATAGAATAATGACTCTGGTAAAAAAGAAATACGAATTTGCCATTACTGGCTTTAAATATCAGTCTAAAGGTCTAGATGTGTCTATAATTAGATTTTGTAGTAAGTTCCCTTTCATGAAACCTCTTTTACTTAGAAGGAATTAGGTCAGATTTTTACAAAGGCAGTAAGAGTATCTGTGACAGATTTATTCAAATTCTCCATTGTTCCACTAAAATGTGCCCTTTTGCCTTTCTGCAGCTAGTGCTGAATAACAAAGAGTGGCCACAGTTGCTATTATTTGCAATAAGTCATATCTACTGAGATTCAAAATGCAGGTGGGGTGCCTGGTTGGCTCAGTAGGTTAAGGGTCCACCTCTTGATTCTGGCTCAGGTCATGATAAGTGTGATATCGAGCCCCACATGGGGCTCCACAGTGACAGTATGGAGCCTACTTGGGATTCTCTATCTCTGCCCCTCCCCCACTCTCTCAAAATAAATAAATAAACTTAAAAAAATGGAGGTAATGTACACTTCATTCACTCACTCACTCATTCACTCATTAGTCAGGATCTAGGGCTAGGTAGTGGGTTGGGAGTTGGGTGTCAGAATTTATAAGGCACGAGTCTATGCTCCAGATTTTGTGATTGGTAGGGGAGATAAGACACACATTCAAGTAACTATTAAATGGTATCAGGAAAGAAAAAAAAATCCCACTATGATCATTCAGAGAAGGACTGAAAAGTCTAGGTTTCAACAGTGTGCTTTTAATTTAAAAACGCATCTTTCAGGAGTTTCTTTCTTTCAGGAGTTTCTAAGTGACATTCAAAAACTCACTTGCAATTGAAAACAACAGTAGAATTTATAAATTCAGTTGTTAAGATGGCCACACAAACTCAACCTTTCAATTCTGGCTTTGATTTAATTTAGAATTCTGCTTTCCTTTCTGTCCAACATAATTGTTTTCAAGGACAGATGGGAAAACCATAGTCCTGACCAAGGTTAATAATATCAATTTTCCCTTAAGATTTAAAAAGATGTATAGTTTTCAAATATATACTTTCTTTTTTCTGATTATAAAAGTAAAAAAATGCTCATTATTACAAATCTAGACAAAAAAGAAGGCAATAAAAGAAACATTCTTACTGCCACCACCCAGAGATAAAACTGTTAATTCATCATGTTAAATAGAAAACACATAAAATTTAATGAATGCAATATCTTATAATGAATATTCTACACTTAATTCAAGGGAAAAACGTGTTCATTATGTACTCACAACTTTGTTCTTATAAAATCTAATAGATACATACAAAAATCTGAGTGTAATGTTATATGAGGAGTTGTAAACTAAAACTATTCTACCGGAATGTTGTGCAATTGCTAAATTATGAAATTATACCAGAATAAAATAAAACAAAAAATTCTGGCCCAAAATACTTGCCAAAATTGCTCAAAAACCTAATGTAGGTATGTTAGTATAAAAAAAGTGCACAGTATCCAAAACTTATTACTCTGGACAACTGGGCTTTATAGGCAAAGCAATAAAAATTAAAGTTAAGGATACCTGGCAGGATGGTACAAAACAGAGATTTCCAAACCTTCCTTTGCAGCACCCTTAGTGCCTTAGTAATTTTTTCATGGTGCCCCAAGGCCAAAAGAAATAGCTAACAATTCTGTTAATTACATAGTTAGGTCCAAACAATTTAACATATATTATATATACATACATATATATATATATGTGTGTGTATATATATATATATATGTATATCTCAACCACAATTGCTTACTAATGAGATGCGTGCATCTGATGGGCAATGCATGCCTTCTCAAATCTTGGGATCAACTCTTACAATCAGATCGACACCCTCATTTCCTGGTCCTGATTTTTGTGCAGCACTTGCTTTTTATCACAGCAGCTGCAGGAAACCTAACTTCGCAGAGATGTGATGTCATCGAAAAGAATGTAGTAAGATCTAATGACAAAACTGGGAACTCTCTTGAACTAGAGGTTCACAAAGTGTCTGACAGATGTGGAATATCTCTGTGTTTCCTTCAGAAATTTAGGGGGTATAGCTCAGGGGTAGAGCATTTGACTGCAGAAATTTAAAATAACCCACATTGCCCTTTTGAGTTTGCTGTGGAACTCCAGGGAAGCTGGCCTGGTGTAGTTTGGTAGTCGTGGATATAGGGCAACCTATAAAAGTGTCACTGTAGAAGTGGTAGGAACTCCAAAATAAAGGCTGTCTTTGGAGTGCCGGGGTGGCTCAGTCCATTAAGCAAGCATCTGACTCTCTATCTCAGCGCAGGTCTTGATTGCAGGGTTGTGAGTTCAAAGGCTGTCTTTGAAAAATTTGGTACCTTTGATATATAAATTGCTGGTCCTTTTATAACAGAGCACTGAAATCCAAATTGGGATACTATGACATATTATTTTATAGACCATGAGGGCTCTGTTATTGTTTCTTCCTTTTTAAAATTTTTTTGAAGTTTATTTATTTTAAGAGACAGAGAGAGTTGAGTGGGGGAAGGGCAGAGAGAGAGGGAGAGACAGAATCCCAAGCAGGCTCTGTGCTAGTGCACAGAGTCCAATATGGGGCCCGAACTCATGAACAGTGAGATCATAACTTGAGAGGAAACCAGGAGTCAGACACTTAACCGACTGAACCACCAAGGCATCCCCACTTACTTTTTTTTTTTTTTCTTAATAAAAGATTGCTCAAGATGCAGATTTTTTATTCCATTTGTAAGTAATAGCCACCTACTGGATTATGTGTTTATTATGGGATTATTTGTTATAAAGGTAGAATATAGGATTCTTTGTTACAAAGTAGGCTATAAAATTGTAGGATTATTTGCTGTAATAAGCACTTGTATGGGTAAGAGTTAACAAGAGTCTGAAGTGGCTCTATTGGGGCCTATTGACCAATGGCATGCGTATTTCATGGGGACTCCATTAGAGAAATGTTCCTTTTGTCCGTATACAATTAAGGCTGCAGATGGAATTAAGGTTACTAATCAGTTGACCTTAAAATTGAGAGCTTATCCTGAATTATCTGGGTGGGTTCAGTATAATCACAGGGATCCTTAAAAGTAGAGAAAAGAGCAGAGGATTAGACCTCAGAGGAAGATGTGACTTGGAAGAAAGGCGCGGGTAATGCTGTGTGAGAAGGACTTGACCCATGGCAGGCTTTAAAGATGGAGGAAGGGAATCCAGGAATCTGGGTGACCTCTGGAAGTCAGAAAAGGCAAGATAGTGTATTCTTCCCTTGTCTAGAGTTTGCCCACACTTTGACTTTAGCCTAGTGAGACCCACATTGGACTTCTAACTTACAGAAATGTAAGACAATAAACTGGTGTTGTTTTAAGCCACTGTATTTGTGATAACTTGTTATAGTGGCCATGGTAAACTAATATAGACCCCCAAATGACAGTATTGATAACAACACAATAGCGGGGCACCTGGGTGGCTCAGTTGGTTGAGTATTTGACTCTCAGTTTCAGCTCAGGTCATAATCCCAGGTCATGGGATCAAGCCCCAAGTCGGGTTCTGTGCTGAGCATGGAGCCTGCTTAAGATTCATTCCTCTCTCTCTCTCTCTCTCTCTCTCCTAA